GCTTTCTGGCAAACTTCTGCTCCCACATTTTTGTAAAAACAAACTTGTCAAACAACTTCAACAAATCAAGGGTAGAGTATAATGTTGACCAATGAGATGCCTCCTTGCAGGCATGCTCACTTTCCCTTACATGTTTTCTCATCAGACTTTTAAAGTTACCAGTATACAAACCTTTTACTACAGTCGTCCTCAGATTTATTCATACCCTTCCATTGAATAAGACAGAGGCGTGGCTGCCATTCTGCGCCTACGGTCCCTCTGATCACCATCTCAAACAATCCATTCATACGCATTCACACCAGGCAAGGTGGGTGAGGTGTCTTGCCCAAGGACACAACAACCATGACATGGGTTACAGGGCGGAATCAATTATGTTCACCAAAATAACACCTTTTATTATAGAAGTTCATCACATTTTCAGCTTTTTGACGGTCTATATTCAGGTATATGTCAATAACTAGGAACTGCTTCATGAAAGAATTCTGCAAATCTCCTCAAATGTTCTACATTTTGTTCCAACACCTGAGTGAAATGTCAAAGCTTTATAGGAGTTAGAGACCACCAGTAAAATGAGCTGATCATTTTGAGTTGAAGAGAACTGACAACAGTGTAAACGTTTATGTATGTCGGGCACCGTGTCGGTACAAAGTTCAGCATATGAGGTGTCACTGTGGGTCAACAGCAGGTTTACAGTCTGTGAAGCTTCACATTTAGCAGCTGAAGACGTCCACTAAGTCTGATGGGAAGAGAAATAAATCCCGGACAGTAAACATAAGACCTTGTAAATCTAAATTTAAGAGAGTAAAATACAAGTTTAATGCTTGTGAATCATACTGTGAAGCTTTCATGGCCGAATAATAAATCTGAGGGTTTTAAAGAGAACGAGCGGAGTTCTGCTGCTTATTCATTAACCCTCTGAACTCGATGCAGTTTCAGGGTGTGATTTTTTGAACTCCTGTCACATTTTCTTTACCGTTTGCTCATTTTTTAAATTAAATATAAAGTCTATGGAAACAGAACAATCATGAAGAAGGAGAGAGAACTCAGAAATGTCTTCTGAGATGAATGTCTCAGTTATAATGACACAAATCATTAAAAAAAAAAAAAAAAAAAAAAGAAGTTGAACGTCTTTTACAAAAAACGAAAAGCTGGAATCAACGTGTCCAACAAGTGTCCACAGGTGTTACCAACACTGCTAAAATAAATGGTGACTTCAAGTACTATAGGTATTTTATATTTTGAATTTCTTTCCATACATGTCTTCGCCCTGTTTTGTTTTAACAGCCTGCAGCTCAACCAAAAAGTCGCTGAATTTTCATCATGTGACTGTTGGTCACAGCTAAGTCTTTATTAGCGCAAAGAAATGCAGAATTTTTTGTTCTTTACAGATTCTAGTTTGAGTAAACTGCTTTTTTTGGCATATTTTTAAGGGAGACATGTGGAATAAAGTAATTTGGATTAAATATCACACTTTTAAGCTTCATGACATAACACTGCCTGCAATTTAACCGAAAAAAATTTGTTTCCCGTGTCTCTTGATCACACCCGAGTCAACCACTTCATGGTTTTTACAGAATCTAATTCAAGTAAACTGTTTATTTTTAATTAATGTTTAAATGAGACATGTTGAATAAAGAAATTTGGATGACACATCACAATTTTTAGCTTTATGACGAAGCAATATATCACAGATGAGCAGGTCAAGGATCGTTGGAAAGCTGAAAAACTGACAATTCTTACTGTTTTTTTTATTTGTATTTTTTTTAAAGTGTCTTTCTATCATTAAAAAGTGTAAGTTTAGTGATTGTATGCTCTATTGACAAAAACAAGAATCTGAAAAACAAAAAAGTGATTTTGATGAAATATCGCACTTTCAAAGTTAGAGTTGGTTAATGTTTTTGACAGAAATGCAGATCACATACAAGTAGGACAGTTTTTGGCAAATAAATGGTGCCATTTCTGCATTTAAAAAAAAAAAAAAAAAGGTTGTTTTTAAATCTTTTGGTGAGTTTTTGACTTCAAAGGCTTAATGCTGGATATTTCACTTGCGATGACATCACATGACGCAATCAGGACAAGTTTCTTGAATCCCCTCTCATGTATTTTAGGGGTTGCTGAGCTCTACACAGCGATAGTTGGTCTCAGCTGGTGGTTATTTCCCACTCTGAGCTCACAGATGACAGACAGCAGGAATGTAGACGAGCGACAAACTGCCGCCTCCAAAAAGAGTCCCAGCTTCGGTATAAATAGCTTCGTGCCGTCAAGTCAAATAAGGAAGTTTAGAGCTGAGCTGCGCAGCTAAATCTGTTCATTTAACAGAGGGGAAGGAAGGAAGGGAGGAAATATCGAGCTGTATAGATGGAAACATAGAAGATCTGACGCCTCCATCACCTTGGCTGCTGCATCATACATGACAATGTTAACATGTGAAGAATACGAGCCTCCAGCCAGAAAACACACAGCAGGCAGGACAGAAGAAGACTAGCAGTAAACCTCAGTGAATTAGTGCAAAACAACTGATGAAACTGCAACAGAAGAACCACAAAGACATGCAAAGTTACTCCAAACAAACACCATAGCCACAAAACGGCGACAAAGATCGACAACGACTCAGAGACAGACAAAACCAAAACATCTGCAAAGAGAAAACAACTAGAAACAGACACAAACCAAAAAAGAATAGGTGCAAAAAAAAAAACAAAAAAAACCCCCACAAAATAAACACAAAATGAAGGCAAAGGCAAACAAAATGATCGGAAAAAGCAAAAAGGAAAAGGAAAAGCAAAAGCAAGTCAATCACAGAGAGACAGAATCCAATATAAAGAGACACCAAACAAACACAAACAGACGCTGATTCAATGGAAACACAAGGGGGGAAAAAAAATCTACTTTTACACACAAAATGATGAGAGGTGCAAAATGACCAGAATGAGATTAAAACTGCCAAAAAGAAACAGATAATGAACACCAACAGATGCCTTTACAGTGCAAACAAAGACAAAAGCCACCTCTTAGGGACACAAAACATGCAACTACACAAAAAATGACTGCATTGAAATGAAAGCTGATGAGAAGAGATGCAAAATATGAACACAAAGAGTTTGAAATAAGACCATAAAGGCACAAAAGGACCACAAAGACAAACAAAATAGCTAGAAACAGATACCAACTACCAAAAAAAAGTGACAAAAACAGACAAACAACTACACACAAAATAATCAGAAAGATTATATATACTATATGTATATATATATATATATATATATATAGTATATAAGATACAAACTGACAAAAAAAAACACCACAAAAATAATGAAAACAAATACCTGGAGGCATAGAAAGGCCACAAAAACACACAAATAGACGAGAAAGAGATAAAAACCAACCACACAGTTGCAGAAGCAAATACAAAGAGATGCAAAATGAACACAAATAGATTCTAATTCAATGTAAACACAACGGACGACTAGATGCCAAATGGCTCAAAGAGACGCAAAACAACCACAAACAGACAATTAAAAAAAAAAAGAGAGATGTAAAATAAACACAAAGACATACAAAGTAACTAAAAATACACAAAATGTTACTGGATGAGACACAAACTAAACACAAACAAGCTAAAATGATTAAAAACAACAGAAAAAATTCACAAAAGCACAACAAAGACACACAAAAATGACTAACAATACACAACAGGAAACACAAAGTAGCGACAAAGAGACAAAAACGGCTCATCAAAAGATGAAAATGAACGAGAGAGAGAAACAAAAGAAAATACAGAGACACAAAATGTTGAATTTTATAATGCAGCTGAGGCAACAATATAATGATCTCAACTAATGTTTATCCTCCAGTTCAACCCCGACTACAAGCTACAAATTAAAATAAATTTTACTATTAAAATTGAGTCAAAAATTCAAAAGAAAAAAGAGAATAAACAACACTCGTCCAGTTAAATTCTCTCTGATCTTGTTTTTGTCTAAACTCCTGCTGCTGCTTCTCCTCTGTAATTGTTTTCACATTTGTTTTACATCTAAAGTGTTTTTTCTGACTGTGGGAAAAGCTCTGGACTCATTTTCTCCACACCGGCCGCAAATGTCAGAACATGATGCAACGAAAGAGTGAATACACAGCTTGTTCTTTCCAGTTGTTACTCAGCTAAGAGGAGTAAGAAGGTGGAGCTGGAAGAAGAAGAAGAAGAAGGAGCTCTGCAATTGCCAGCAGCTCAAAGCCAAACTGAGCTGCTGCTGCTACGGTGGGAAATCTGGGGGCGTTGCCTAGCAACAGGTTGTAACATCTGGCAGCAGCTGCAACCTAAGTGGCGGGAAAAAAGAAAAACTCCAATGCAGCTTTAAACCCAGAGCTTCAGCTGAAGTCTGCAGGTCAGCTTGCTTCACCTCAATTTTGTTTTGTTTTTTTACACTTTTTTTTTCACTGCACTATATAATAACCAGGAAGAGCATAAAATTGACTAAAAGAAACAGAAACTGACAAAAAACAACAGTAAAAAACACAAAAGCTCTGAAAACAAATACTAGGAGGTACAAAATGCACACAAAAAGAGCAGAAAGAAATAAACACTGACCAAAAGAGATGCAATAAGACAAGTAAGTGACAAAGCAACAGCAAAAAGACAAAAAAGGACCACAAAGACACGTAAAACGAACAGCAAGAGCTGCAAAAGAGTGACAAGGACACACAAAAACATCAGAAAGAGCTGAAACAACAGACTCAGAGGCGCAAAATGAGCACAGATGGATTCTAATTAGTGGACTCTAACGGATTCTAATAAATAGTAAAAAAAACAGCAAAAAGACACATGAAATGAGTCTTTTATGACTGAGTGAGAACTGTTTATCAGCAAAACGTGTTAGAATAAAAACTGACCAACTTTAACCAAACGTCCTCCAACCTCAGCTTTAACCTGCTGAACTACCTGATCCCCCTGTGTTTTTGAAGGCTTTTTAACAATAAATAAATAATAAATCACAGTTTCTCACCTGGAGGATGGGGCTGTGGTCAAAGTTGTAGGCGCTCGGTCGGCCCTCCAGCGTGGAAAACGCCACGTTGCCGCCGGTGAGCGGGGAGATGTCGCTGAAGTCGTCGGTGCAGAGCGCATGCTGCTCGTCCTCGCCGGTCCGGATGAAGCCGCGACTTGCCTTCTGGTAGGTTTTCTCGCAGGAGCCGCTGTAGTACTGGTAGGGAACCCAGGGGGCGTCCTCGCTGCTGCGCTTGTAGATGACGAAGCTCTCTGGCCGGCTGGTGTGGAACTTAAGCCGGACGTAGGTGATGTCGAAGGCTTTACCTGCAGAGACACCAGAGGAATCAATTAACCAGGACATCCGGCATCAGGAGTTCGATTTATGCGTCTGGAAACGGCAGCAACACAGTTTTGTTGCTCATTACAACAACAACAACAACAAAAGAAAAGACTTAAAACATATCAAAAACAATTTGAAAAGTGCACAAAATGACTTAAAGCTTCTGTAAAATGATTTGAAACTCATCTGAAAGTACTGAAAACTCACCCATAACAATTCGAAACTCTTAGAAAGAAACTTGAAACACGTCCTAAATGTCTTTTAAGTACACATGTTCTTAAAATTTGTCAAAAAATGATGAAAATCTCGTCTAAATACTCAAAATAAGTAAATTAAAATGTCTAATTTTACTTGTCCAAAGCAAAGACCTGTTTTTGATCTTTTTGTTAATGTCACACCACAAGATGGTTTTCAAATGTCTTTTTTGAGTTTTAATTAAATTTTTTTAAATTTGTGTTGCAGATGCACTAGTTTGACAAATCACCCCGATCATTCTGGATAATTATTCTTTCAAAATTAAAGTATTTAAGTCGTGTGGTGGAGAAAACCTAAATATGAATGTGTCAGTTTCCTCCAGTATCTTCTGTTCTGTCATGTTTTTAACTGCTGCTGAAAGGTGAGTTTATCTTGATGTTTTCAGACTTTAAGTCAAAGATGAAGACTTCTAACAGCTCTGAAGAGTCTCTTCAGTGTTTCTTCCTGAAATCAGACTGATGAGGATCTCTGTGGATTTGGGAAAAGCTGAGCAGGAATGTGAAGTCGGCATTTTGCTCCTTTAACTCGACACTTGGTCCGGACACGTTTGGCAGCGAGTCTGAGCAGGCCGAGTGTCGGTCGGCTGAAGAAACGCCGCCATGTCGAGGCTGTTTGCTCAGCCAAAGAATCTGCTCTGTAAACAGAGGGCTGACAGGGGCCCCGGCTCAGGGGCCCCTCTGTGGACGGCAAATAAAGGTGAAGCAGCTGATGGGACCGAGGCTCACAAAAGGCTGCAGTTTATTACAGGAAACAATGAAGCGACTGCAAACACACCGGCTTCCTCCTGCAGAGTCGCCAAAGACCAGACGAGGGGTTGAGGTTAACAAGAAGCTGGAGCTCCGATACTCATTTACTGAACTGTGCAAGCTGCAGGCAGATTTACATCAAATCAAACTGAGCAGCAGCTTCATTTGTCTATTTTAACAGGGTGGTATAGCAGGTAAAAACATATACACTGCTAATGTGCTGTTTAAGTACACTAACACGGCACAGTTTTAACACTCAAAACTCATCCGAAACGACTCGAAATTTGTTTAAAATGAGCCTGAACTTGGCCAAATAAAAACAACCTGTCAAAAATGACTCCACAACAAACATAAATGACTTAGACAGTGACCTAAATGACAAAACACCTGTCCAAGATGAGCAATAGTTTATTCAAAATGGACTGAAATGATGGAAACTTGTCCAAAATGTTCCAATTTGTCCAAAATGTTAAAAATCTGCTAAAAATGACAAAAAAGTTCCAAAGTGACTCAAAATTCACTGAAATAACACATATCTGTCCAAAATAACATCTTGTACTAAAATGGTAAAAAAAACAAACAAAAAAAAACAAACACTGAAATGACAGAAACTTTTCCAAAATGCTTTCAAAATAAACCAAACTGACAGCAAGAAAAATGACTCAAAACCTGACAGAAATGAATCTAAACTTTTTCAAAGTGATTCAAACATGTCCCAAATGACTCAACAATTCACCAAAATGAAAAATAAAATAAAATAAAATAAAAAATAAATTTAAAAAATGGGTGCAAAGTGAATCTAATATTACCCAAAAGGACAATAGCATGTCAAAAATGAAGCTTAATTTTTCCAGAATGAACCAAAAATTCACCAAAATTCCAACAGTCTGTCAAAAATGACTTTAAATCAGTTCAAAATTAATCTGAACTCGTCCAAAGGGACTCAAAATCTGTCCAATAAAAATTAAACTGAAGGTTTCAAAGTCAAACTTCTGCTAATAAAAGCTCTGTTGAACCAACATCTGATGGATGTCTGAGATTTCTGCCGCTTTAATTCTAATGTTTGTAACTGCAGTCCGTCTAGTCAGAATGATGTTATAAATATCTGTAATTCTAATTCCACAAAGTCAAACTCAGCTATCAAATAATAAAACAGATCCTATATTTGTACACAAAAACTGGTTTAAACTGGCCTCTACTTTTATTGATTTTATAATTCACCTTTAAATATGTATTCTTTTATTATTATTTTAATGTTCTTTACTTCTTAAATGCACCATGTAAAGCACTTTGTGTTGAACAGAGACAGAAACTCAACTTCCCATAATACACTGGGCTTCCTTTGCTGTCCTCCAACAGACCAGATAAACCCTGAACACTTTGAATTTTTGCTATTTCACCGTTGGTCACAGCTGAGTCACTAACAGCTTCATGGATGCGCAGAAGAGTGTACAATTAATAGCTTTTTACAAAATCTGAGCTAACTGGTTATTTTTTGTACATTTTTTATTCGAGATAGATAAAACAAAGCGATTTTGATGAAGTATCACAGTTTTAAGTTGATTCGTTGAAGGATTTTAAAATTTGCATTTCCACTTGTGATAAATTGTGTAATTTTGGTGGTCTTTTAAAACATAAAACACTTTTTAAACCCGTCGTAGTATTTTTGAGTAAGAAGGGGTAAAGCAGGAAACGTCAAAACAACCTACTTATGTGTCAGATTGTGTATTTGTGGCTCCAGAGATCAAAGTTGCAGCTTTTGCAGCTGAAATATGAAAAGGAAACTCTCCATCAGTATTACAGTCACATTTCTCCTGATGTTATTGGACACTTTCCAGAGAGTTTAAAGTGCTTTATAAGTGTCTGAAGAGCTTCACAGTTAAAAAAGGAAAAAAAAAGAAGAAGCTTCAAGAACAGAGTATAATTCAAATGTGGGATCTGAAGCATCTTTTCAGAGTAAAAGCATCCCTGTGGAGCCTCGCTGGCTTCACATCAAAGTGTGACAGGCAGCAGGAAAACACTCTGACATTTCTTTAAGTTAAAAAAAACAAACAACAAAAAAAAAAAACAACGCCTCCACATCCTGACGGACGGGACAAAGGCGTCTGTTGTCGCAAAGACAAAGAGCAGCGAGACCAGGTGGAGGACGTGATGCAGCAAACAAATTCACCATAAAGCAACACATTTATGTTTCAGAAGCGTCTGAATTTTTATCTCTTCCTCCGGATAAATCGAAGTATCGACCAGAGCAACAATTCAAGATACTGATTTTTGATAACATTTACAATTTGTTTTTACAGGTAACTATAAATTTATACTTTTTAAAAAAGTAGATAACAACTGTAACGCAACAAACAAATCGATTAAAAATCATAAATCAAGAAAAAAAAGTAAGATAAAAGCTTAAATAAACAGCTTAGAAAAATTATTTTCCATTTTCCAATCATTAATATAGATATTTTTCTTCCAAATACCAGTTAAAAAAGCAATACTTTTGTTCATTTAAATACCGTAAAACAAATAGCATAAATCTACAGTGAAATTATGTAAAAGAACAAAATAACATTGTAAAAAAATACAGATTACTGGTGTGGATATTATTTATAGTTTTGTCCTCTTTTTTTCATTTTATGATTAACATGTAAATTACTATCTGTAATTTATCAAAATAAGGAAAGTCTGTAAAATAATAGCTTGAAAAGTACATAACATTTTTCAGTCATTGTTATCCATACTTCTTTCTTGTAAATAACAGCACATATTTGTGAATAATACTGTTGCTTTTTGCTAATTTAACCAGTGTTAAAAAAAAAAGTTACTGTGAAATGTTTAAACAAACTACAATATGATACGTGTAGACCATCTGCCAAAGTGAGGAGATCGTAGGGATCATTTAGGTCACATTCTATAAATTGCAGTTCTATGCTGATGCTCCGATGCACCAGACGTGTTACGTCGTCAACCTGACCGACCAACCATAGCAAATTACAGGCAGTGATGCACTTTCTTACTTGCTTCTTTGTGTGTGTGTGTGTGTGTGTGTGTGTGTGTGTGTGTGTGTGTGTAGCAGTGGATGCATGGAGAGCCATGGCTGAAAGCCAAACGGAGGAGTTGGTCGCTAAGAAAAGCTCCATTTCCATTATATGGAGTTGTTTTGGCTTTTCCCCAAATGACAAAGCACAAACAAGGGTAATTTGCAAAGTTTGCACAGAGATGGTTCGCACGTCGGATGGCAACACGACAAACTTGTTCAATCACCTAAAGAGAAAGCCCCCTAAACAGTATGCTGAGAGCCAAACAGTGAGGGAACCACCAGCAGCACCGCAGCCAGAGGCAGCAGCTGGACCCAAACAGACAGCGTTAACACAGGCATTTGATAAAAGCTTCCGTATGAGAAGACAAGCAAGCGGTGGAAAGAGGTCAAAAATACATGTAAGATCGTGATAAAATCAAAATTTTGATTTTATAATAAAAAAATCGTGATATCATATTTCTGCCATATCGCCAACCCCTAATTCATCATTTTAAACAGGTTCTACCAGCACTGGAAAAAAATGGAGGCTCAACAGAACTCGCTGAATTTGTGTCACGTGCTTGTTGGTCGCTGCTGAGCCAGGCATGGCTTCACGGTTTCACCGAAAAACGTACAATTTTGTGTTTTTCACCGCATCTGGTTCGAGGAAACGGTTTATGTTAGATGATTTTTTTAAATGAGACATTAAGAATAGAAACAGAGTGGAACATTGCTTTAAAATCACACATTAATATATGTCAAAGGCGTCGGTTGGACTCCGCAGCACGAAGCCGGGAGGAATTCTGTCTCTTCTTCCAGAACAATCAGCGTATTGACCAGAGGAAGAATTCAACAGTCGAGGGAGCAAACAAAGGCGACGCTGTGATGCTGTATTTATGCTCTGGTCCCATATGACGCCGGAACAAAAACAACCTGCTGACTCCACTCTGACACACCAGCAGTGATCTTA